AACGAAAAGGATTGGCAAACAAGCTAAAACGGCTTATATTAATGCCGCTCCATAATGCATATGTAAGTTCACATATATACATAGTGTCCTGATGATGTACACCTCTCCGCGGAGGGCCTAGATAACGGAATTCATTGCTGTCATCATGAGTCTCGACCGCCTGACCAGAAGAATATTGTCTGATAACAGAGCCAACCACCCTCGGTCCTCTCTTAATCGTTTATATATGCCAATCAATTCTGGAGGCCGGGGTTTGATTAATGTGGAGTCTCTTAATGACAGAATTTTATTGTGTACTTTTCCACATATGTATTTATCGGATGATCCTCTGGTGATGCATGTCGAGACTCATGATGAAAGCAAGGAATTCTACAGCTATTTTAAGCGTGCCAAGGTTGTTGGAAAGAATCTGAAATTTGAGGGGATTTTGTTGATGGCGACGCACTGCTGGGAGTTAGCCAGGTGAAGTCATTCACCAAGTCTGTCCAGAGTCGGTCATTTATGGAGAAGCTTTCTTAGAAACAATTGTATCGTGTGTACATGCAGCGTGTGGAACAGTCCAGAATCCAACCGACTCCTTCGCCTGGATGAAGTCGGCTCGTCTTAAATGTGAAACAGAGGACTTTTTTGCTGCCCAAGACCAGTCATTTCCCACTCGCAATCGCCTAAATGTGATTCTTAAAGAAAATATTTGCATGGAATGTCGATTGTGCAATGAATTTACAGAGACTGTCCAACACCTTGTCAGTGGATGCCCTTCCTTGGCACAAACAGTATATCTTAAACGACATGATGGCATAGCTCGCTGCTTTTACTATCGTCCTCGCCATGCCTGTGGCTTTGACTCCGAGGTCCATCCATGGTACGACCCTGGACATGTCCTGGGCGTCATGGAAAATGCTGTTTTCAAACTTCGGTGGCCTATGTACAGCCTGAGAAGAATTCCAGTCAACAAACCTGATCTTGTCCTCTTTGATAAAGCCAATGAATTTATTTATATCATTGAATTTTCTGTCCTTTTGACAGCAACGTGATTGGCAAGATTCACGAAAAGCATGCTATACATGCGGACCTCGCCTTTGAAATGTCTCGCTTCAATCCCAAGTACACTGTCGTCAAGCTCCCCATTGTTCTTAGTACCCTTGGTTTTGGTACCTCCTGATCTCTTGGCGCCGATCAGGAGAGTCCCGGGTTCTCCATCGGGAGCACAGCCCTTCTGACACTCTGGGTAATGCAGAAGGTTGCAGTTTGGGGAGTCTACATATACTCCGGAAAGTTCTTAGTGGGTTCGACTAGTCAGCGTTTCCTGGGAGAGTCCATTTCGCTGTCTTGGCTGTGTGTAGAGGGGGCAAGGGCCCTGAGCTGATGATGAGCCTTACCAACCCGAATTTGCCACGATCACGCGAGCCACTCTGATGCATTTTCATCTTAATCAGTAAAACATCATAACAAGTTGTGAAAATATGAACTGTTCATCTATGAATGACAACAATCTTGGATAATACCAAATTGGAAGTTAGTTTTGTGTCGTGGCCAGTTGATACAAATAAGAAAATAATAGAAACTAAAACACTTTAATGAATCAAATCGTTTTGATGAAATAATGAATTGATGCACTGACTGTAGAATGTCCATATTCGTCTGATATGATACTGAGGTATTACAATTTAGCACATCCAGCAGGGAGAAACCTTTCTTATAAAAATATGATTCATATCGAATGCTATTATATTTAGGACACGTGAAGAAGTAGTGGAAAGCATCCTCATAGTTATGTGAGCAGGAACAAGAAGCATTATCAGAAATGATACGATTATATTTATCACTGTTTTAGTCATTGCATCCCAGTCTAAGACGACAGTGTATTATTTGACAGAAACGACTACCAAAAGCTAGCTCGAACATTGTACTGGCAGGGTATGAAACTCAGCCAGACCACAGGGCTGGTTAATGTCAAACTTGCCAGCCCTGACCAAAACTTACCTGCCCGCAAATAATTTACAATACTTTCACAAGCGACGTTGTCCAATTGGAATTCATCGTTTATTTTGACGAGTGAATTAATAATGATTTATTATCCTGAAAAATGATGAATATCTTCATATGCATGTATAAATTTAACCCGACCGTCGGGCAGGTGAATTTGAAAATCTGGCAGTCCGTGTTGAAAATAACCTGTCCCAGGTGGTCGGGGAGGCGGGTATTTCGAACGCTGATATTGGTATCAGATTGTTGTGAGTAGGTTCTTAAACTGTCCACCAGAGGAAGCAGTTGTCGCATTTGTGGGTAGGTTATTCCACAATGTAATTGTGTTGGGCAACAACGAATTGAAATAAATAGTAGATTGGCATCATATAGTCTGATGATTTTTATTGTCCCTTAGATTGTAATTACTGTTGTCAGACACATTCTCTGAAACAAGAACCATATGGTTTAAAAGTTTTAAAAATAATGTTAATTTGGAAGTTTTTCTTCGTTCCGCTAAGGAGGTCTGGTTTGCCTCATTATATAGTTTCGCGTGGCTCGTACCTCTGACTGCACCGCATATTGTGCGTAAGGCATCTCAGTGAAAGTGTTCTAGAGACAAGGACTATTCATTTGAACAATTGTCCCAGAGAGGACAGCAATAATCAAATGAAGGTAAAATGAAGGATTTATACATTGCTTTAAATTAACATTTAATCAAAGCCAAATCACTAAACTAAACTTTAATTAATCCTTAACTGGTTGAAAGATCGTAAATCATTCATCAATATGTCAACCTCACTGATGCCATTTGTTGACATAACATTCATTCATTAAATTAATTTTCGGCGTGAAGAAAATATTGAGGCAGACTGGTGATGGTCCGTGTGCGAGAAAGACTGGTGGTGGCCCTTTGCAAATGGCCCGACTGCGAGACAGACTGGTGGTGGCCCTTTGGTGACAGACTGGTGGTTGCCCGACTGCAAGACAGATTGGTGCTGGCCTGTCTTCGAGACAGACTGGGGGTGGCCCATTGCCAGGCAGACTGGTGGTGGCCCTTTGCGCGACCGACTGGTGGTGGCCCGTCTTCGAGACAGACTGGGTGTGGCCCATTGCCAGACAGACTGGAGGTGGCCCTTTGCGCGACTGGTACTGGTGGCGGCCCTTTGCCAGACAGACTGGCGGTGGCCCGTCTGCGCCTTGGTAATGGACAGACTGGCGGTGGCCCGCACGAGACAGACTGGTGGTGGCCCTTTTGCGCGACAGACTGGTGTGGTCCGTATGCGAGACAGACTAAAATAACTTTTACAGATTTTATCCATTTTTATTGCTATTGTTTATACAGGCTTTATTATGTTACATCCGGTATAACACAGCAAGACAGAATCTGTTCTTATAGTCTGGACACTTGCAAGGAGTGAGCCCTCCCAAACTCTTAAAAGGAGTGGTCGAAGTGATGAAGCAAGGCACAAATGCCAGGACTGACAATGTGAAGACACGACGGATGTTAGAATAGTTGATCAGCGATTACAAAACTACTCAATTTCCCTGAAAGAAATTCTTCAATGAAAACTCCTTCAAAGATATCAAGAATACGAATTATCTGAAGTTGTGGTACATAGACACGACTACATCTTTGGGGGATTTCCTCATCTTCAGGCACATGACGACTTGTGTGGAGAGCATGCGCAGAGGGAGGAGAGCAGGCTTGGTATGCCGTCTCTGTAAACGACGTCAATCATCTGGTTCATGAGTCCCGACCATGCCCAGCACCTCCCACAGCCACTGGTCATCTGGCCATGGTGTGTTTGTTTGTTTTGTCGTTTAAAGTCGCACTCAGCAATATTCCAGCTATATGGATGCGGTCTGTAAATAATCAAGTCTGGACCAGACAATCCAGTGATCAACAACATTGATCTACGCAATTGGGATACGATGACATGTGTCAAGCAAGTCAGCGAGTCTAAACACCCAATTCCGTTAGTCGCGCCTTACGACAAGCATGGATTGCTGAAGACCAATTCTAGCCCGGAGCTTCACGGGTATAATGGGCACTGGACATAATTTAGAACCAGACCATGAATAAAGTCCTAAAATTGTATATTGTATGAGAAAATATACTCTTTTCGTTCACAAACGTTAATGTACGATGTCATCGATAACACACTTTCCATATCGATAGTCATTAATAACTTTTCCCCATAGCCAGCTCTAACAAATGTCATTCTTTTTTGCAAGCTATGTAACGTTACATACAAACATACAGATCCATTCATGTCGGTGCGGTTTTCAGCAGTATTTACTTTGCTTGTGTTTTTCTTACATCAGTTAAACAAGAAAACATAGCACACAAACAATCATCAGTGTATTACAAAAGGCAGGGGAAAATGTGTCAAAACGCATAACAAAACAAACGTTTTCAGTGTCATTTTTCAAACTGGTTAATCATTTGAAGTTCAATTAACACCATCAGAAAATAGAGATTCAGTATACTGCCACCCTACGTGCTCTAACTGGCCCAGGGCACTGCAACAGTATTTCGCAAGTTGTCATAGCCAACGTTCCAGTCAAGGCAAATAGTTATGAACACTAAGGTTAAAATTAGTTTTTGATAGACAGAGGCCAAAACAATACAATGAAATGAAACGTTTTATAAGCAACTGTATATACAAAATGTACGTTCATGAGATGTTACATCCTCGATAATCTCCAGGGTATACGTTCCAATAAATCTGGATGCATCTACGGCCCCATGATATTTTTACCTCCCTTTGCTGGCTTTTTCTCAAATCAGGTGTCTACGTTTGGAAGCTGAGCGTACCAATCACAACTCACTTTCGCTTCTTTTATCTAACCGATTACATTTGGCAACATAATTGTTGCAGAGGTACTCTGAAAGAGGTATAAAGACTTTTTGCCTATGTTTTTTAAGGTTTCAGACCTGTCAATTTGTCTGTATGATTTCAAGCAAAATCTGAGTCGCACTGCGAACAAACCTTCGTGGCTGTGACCGCTATCTTTGTTGACACTGGCAAGCTCGGATGTAACGGTGGCTTAGCTGATTGGTTACTGTGAGAATGCGGAGCCAGCAAAGATAGGTAATAAAACTTTCGGGCCGAGCCATAGATGCATCCAAAGTACATTGTCGCAAATTGTCGCATTAGTTCACGGACACTCAGCTTCTTGGGTATCACAAATTTCACTGTATCTGTGAGCATGAACCAGTGTCTCTACATGACCTCACACAGGTGTGTAGGTAAACTTGAACCCAGAATCCTTCATCTTGGCATTCCATATTTGATCAAAGCTCTCGTTTTCTGCCACAGTGAACCAATTTTTCCAGTCCCCGATTTCACCTGAAGCAGAAAACGAATGTAGCAAAGCCAGCGTATGTTACATAGGCATATGTTTATCAACGAGCCATATGATGGACAAACATTCCTGAACTACAAATACAGTAACTTAGTCACATCTGAAACACAAACGTACATTGAATATCCAGTACCACTAAATATCCAGTACCACTAAATGGTAACTTTGTTGTAATCATGAAACATCTCACTGAAGTTTGATTGTAATGATAACAAAACCATCACGGCCACCACTACTACCACAACCACCACAACCACCACAACCACCACCACAATCACCACTACCACCACCACCACCACAACTACCACAACCACCACAACCACCAGTGCCACCACAACCACCACTACCACAACAACCACCACTACCACCACTACCACCACACCACCACAACCACCACCACCACCACCACTACCACCACCACCACACACCACCACTACTCACCACCACTACCACCTCACAACCACCACAACCACCACTACCACTACCACCACTACCACCACTACCACCACAACTACCACTACCACCACACCACCACTGCACCACCACTACCACCACAACAACTACCACCACTACCACCACAATACCACTACCACCACCACTACCACCACTAACCACCACTGCCTCACTACACTACAACACCACCAACTACACAACTACCACCACAACCACCACCACTACCACCACACTACCACACCACTACCACCACCACCAACCACTACAACAACTACCACTACTACCACCTTTCACCACCACCACTACCACCACAACCACTCAACAACCACCACTACCCACCACTACCACCACAGCCTACCACTCATTAATTACCACTCACCATCACTACAACCAACAACCACTACAAATGCACCACCACCACTCACTACACATCCACTACCACCTCAACCACCACAACTACTCACAACCAACAACTACCACCTCGCAACCACCACAACTACCACACCACCACTGCCACTACTTACCACACTACCATCCACAACCACCACCACTACAACTCAACCATAGAACCACTGCATCACTACCACTACCTCACAACCCACCACTCTTACCACCACCATCAACCACTCACTACCACTAACCACCATAAACCACCACCACCACCAACCACCACAACCATTCACACTACCACCACAACCACCACAACCACTACCACCACTACTCACCACACCACAACCACCACTACCACCACCACCACCACCACAACCACTGTACCACCATTAGTGCCACCACCACCACTACTACCACAGCCACCTTCAACCACCACATAATTGGCCACTACAACCACTACTACTTAATTCACTACTACCACACTACTCACAACCACACCACCACTCACCACCACACTACCACAACCACCACCACCACAACCACCATACAACCACCACCACCACTACCACACCCATGTCACCAATTACCACACCACAACCACCTCAACCACCACCACCACCACAACCACCACCACCACTACCACCACCACCACAAACCACCACCACTACCACCACTACCACCACTTGCTACCAACTACCACCACCACCACCATAAACCACCACAACCACCTCACCATAATACCAAGAACCACCACCACCACCATAACCACCAATCACCACCAATACCACAAATACCAACCACCACCAACCACTCACTACCACCACCACCACCACTACCAACAACCACCACTACCACCACTACTACCACAATCACCACTACCACCACTACATACCAACACCAAACTACCACCACAACCACCACCACCACCACTACCACTACAACCACCCACTTACCACAACCACTACCACCCACAACCATCACCACCACCCCACTAACCACAACAACCACCACTACCAACACCACTACCACCACTACTACTACACCACAACCACCACTACCACCACTACCACCACTACCACCACTACCACCACAACCACCACCACAACCACCAATCACTACCACCACACCACTACCACTACCACCTCAACCACCACAACCACCACCACCACCACTACCACTACCACCACCACAACCACACCAACCACCACTACCACAAACTTACCTACCACCAACAACCACCTCAACCTACCACCACCACCACTACTACACCAATACCACCATACCACCAATACACTCACCACCATACCGACCTCAACCACCACCACTATTCACCGCCACTACCAATCTCACCAATACCACCTATACCCACTACCGTATTTCGAATCTGTATATATGCCTTTACACAACCCTGTTCATCACTTGCTTGACAAGGGTGTTAGAATCTACACCAAAACGTCGCTTCTTATAATATAGCTAATGCTTGCTTGACAGGTATTTTTTTCTCTTTAAAGCCGAACGCTAACGTTAGTGCAGTCCTTGTCTGTGTCAATGTATTAAGTGCCGTCCCTGGGTACCAGGTAGGCCCCTGCCGTCACATATGAAGACACCACAGTTTTAATAGCCAATGTTTCTGGATACATGGTCAAGAGAACGGTCATCACTCAAGATACTCAGAGCAGTGAGCGTTGACTTACTCATTGGTGGTCTGACCAAAGGAAGGACCACGTGCGACCACCACAGTAAAACTAAGGATTGAAAAATGTTTACGACTCCACAATAAGAATTCTCTACATCATGTCATGTCTTGGACTTGAAGATCTTGCACACAAGCTTCCAGGATATGACAAATGTAATTCTAGTCAATCTCTTTCCGACGACCATAGTGAGAACGTGTAATACCTTTTCTGTAGAACGTCCCTTCTTTGCCATCTGCCCAGATCGTCATGGGAATGTCACCTTTCATTTCCTGGTCAACCTTTTTCATCTTCTTAAAGGAACAAGTATTCGCAACCTCTTCACAAAACTGGTCCGTTGATGACAGGCCTAGGAATCTGGCGATGTCTTTCACAGTCTTGACAGGATCCTGGAAGTAGTGGTGTGAGAGGGGCTTTCAATGCCTCGACAAGGTTCAAATATATTGTTTGGTTGCTTGAGTGATCGGTTGATTGGTTTATTGACTGACATAGATTATTGATTTATTGGTTCTTCTATAGTTCAATAATGACCAGGTGTTTGTTGGACAATATCATTTGTGGTTGTTTGAGGCACAAGAAAAAACATATGTTGATGGATATCAATACTCACAAATTTCATGTCCTCATAGAACAAATCTAGGACAGGTAACTCTGGTGCAGCTGCCACTTCGGCTTTCCATGATAGCAGATAGGTGGAGTAGGACCCAAACACCACTAGAGAGCAAAGAAGATAAAGACTAGTTGAGGCAAAGGCATATAACTTAATCCCATCACACTTTATTTGAAGAAGGTCAATACCACAAATCTGTTTTCAGGAAGGTGCTTTATCCACTGGATAAGATGTATACAAAGCCAGGACCCCGAAATCAATCAGATGTCTACAATGCAATCACAATGGAACCAACCAAATGTCTACAATGCCAGGACAATGGAACCAATCGCATGTCTACACAGTCAAGACAACGGAACCAAACAGATGTCTAAAACCTCAGGCCAACAGAACCAATCAGATGTCTACTCAGCCAAGACAACTTAACCAATCAGATGTCTACAAAGCCAGGACCACGGAACCAATCAGATGTCTACACAGCCAGGACCACGGAACCAATCAGATGTCTACACAGCCAGAACAACGGAACCAATCAGATGTCTACTCAGCCAGGACCGCGGAACCAATCAGATGTATACAAAGCCAGGACCACGGAACCAATCTGATGTCTACAAAGCCAGGACCACGGAACCAATCAGATGTCTTAAAACTCAGGACAAGAGAACCAATCAGATGTCTACAAAGTCAGAACAACGGAACCAATCAGATGTGTACTCAGCCAGGACCACGGAACCAATCAGATGTATACAAAGCCAGGATAACGGAACCAATCAGATGTCTACACAGCGAGGACAAGAGAACCAATCAGATGTCTACAGAGCCAGGACCACGAAACCAATCAGATGTCTACAAAGTCAGAACAACGGAACCAATCAGATGTCTACTCAGCCAGGACCACGGAACCAATCAGATGTATACAAAGCCAGGATAACGGAACCAATCAGATGTCTACACAGCGAGGACAAGAGAACCAATCAGATGTCTACAAAGCCAGGACAACGGAACCAATCAGATGTATACAAAGCCAGGACCATGGAACCAATCAGATGTCTACAAGGCCAGGATAACGGAACCAATCAGATGTCTACACAGTCAGGATAACGGACCCAATCAGATGTCTACACAGCGAGGACAAGAGAACCAATCAGATGTCTACACAGACAGGACCACGGAAGCAATCAGATGTATACAAAGACAGAACAACGGAACCAATCAGATGTCTACAAAGTCAGAACAACGGAACCAATCAGACGCATACAAAGACAGAACAACGGAACCAATCAGATGCATACAAAGTCAGAACAACGGAACCAATCAGATGCATACAAAGACAGAACAACGGAACCAATCAGATGTCTACAAAGTCAGAACAACGGAACCAATCAGACGCATACAAAGACAGAACAACGGAACCAATCAGATGCATACAAAGTCAGAACAACGGAACCAATCAGACGCATACAAAGACAGAACAACGGAACCAATCAGATGCATACAAAGTCAGAACAACGGAACCAATCAGATGCATACAAAGACAGAACAACGGAACCATTCAGATGTCTACAAAGTCAGAACAACGGAACCAATCAGATGCATACAAAGACAGAACAACGGAACCAATCAGATGTCTACACAGTCAGGATAACGGAACCAATCAGATGTCTACACAGCGACGACAAGCGAACCAATCAGATGTCTACACAGACAGGACAACGGAACCAATCAGATGTCTACAAAGTCAGAACAACGGAACCAATCAGATGCATACAAAGACAGAACAACGGAACCAATCAGATGTCTACACAGACAGGACAACGGAACCAATCAGATGTCTACAAGACCAAGACAACGGAACCAATCAGATGTCTACAAAGCCAGGACAACGGAACCAATCAGATGTATACAAAGCCAGGACCATGGAACCAATCAGATGTCTACAAAGCCAAGTCAACGGAACAAATCAGATGTCTACAAAGTCAGAACAACGGAACCAATCAGATGCATACAAAGACAGAACAACGGAACCAATCAGATGTCTACACAGTCAGGATAACGGAACCAATCAGAAGTCTACACAGCGAGGACAACGGAACCAATCAGATGTCTACAAAGCCAGGACAGCGGAACCAATCAGATGTATATAAAGCCAGGACCATGGAACCAATCAGATGTCTACACAGTCAGGATAACGGAACCAATCAGATGTCTACACAGACAGGACCACGGAACCAATCAGATGTCTACACAGACAGGACAACGGAACCAATCAGATGTCCACAAGGCCAGGACAACGGAACCAATCAGATGCATACAAAGACAGAACAACGGAACCAATCAGATGTCTACACAGTCAGGATAACGGAACCAATCAGATGTCTACACAGACAGGACCACGGAACCAATCAGATGTCCACAAGGCCAGAACAACGGAACCAATCAGATGTATACAAAAACAGAACAACGGAACCAATCAGATGCATACAAAGACAGAACAACGGAACCAATCAGATGTCTACAAAGTCAGAACAACGGAACCAATCAGATGTATACAAAGCGAGAACAACGGAACTAATCAGATGTATACAAAAACAGAACAACGGAACCAATCAGATGCATACAAAGACAGAACAACGGAACCAATCAGATGTCTACAAAGTCAGAACAACGGAACCAATCAGATGCATACAAAGACAGAACAACGGAACCAATCAGATGTCTACACAGTCAGGATAACGGAACCAATCAGATGTCTACACAGCGAGGACAAGGGAACCAATCAGATGTCTACACAGACAGGACAACGGAACCAATCAGATGTCTACAAGGCCAGGACAACAGAACCAATCAGATGTCTACAAAGCCAGGACAACGGAACCAATCAGATGTATACAAAGCCAGGACCATGGAACCAATCAGATGTCTACTCAGCCAAGTCAACGGAACCAATCAGATGCATACAAAGACAGAACAACGGAACCAATCAGATGTCTACAAAGTCAAAACAACGGAACCAATCAGATGCATACAAAGACAGAACAACGGAACCAATCAGATGTCTACACAGTCAGGATAACGGAACCAATCAGATGTCTACACAGCGAGGACAACGGAACCAACCAGATGTCTACAAAGCCAGGACAGCGGAACCAATCAGATGTCTACAAAGCCAGGACCATGGAACCAATCAGATGTTTACTCAGCCAAGTCAACGGAACCAATCAGATGCATACAAAGACAGAACAACGGAACCAATCAGATGTCTACAAAGTCAGAACAACGGAACCAATCAGATGCATACAAAGACAGAACAACGGAACCAATCAGATGTCTACACAGTCAGGATAACGGAACCAATCAGATGTCTACACAGACAGGACCACGGAACCAATCAGATGTCTACAAAGCCAGAACAACGGAACCAATCAGACGTATACAAAGACAGAACAACGGAACCAATCAGATGCATACAAAGACAGAACAAAGCAACCAATCAGATGTCTACAAAGTCAGAACAACGGAACCAATCAGATGCATACAAAGACAGAACAACGGAACCAATCAGATGCATACAAAGTCAGAACAACGGAACCAATCAGATGCATACAAAGACAGAACAACGGAACCAATCAGATGTCTACTAAGTCAGAACAACGGAACCAATCAGATGCATACAAAGACAGAACAACGGAACCAATCAGATGTCTACACAGTCAGGATAACGGAACCAATCAGATGTCTACACAGCGAGGACAAGGGAACCAATCAGATGTCTACACAGACAGGACAACGGAACCAATCAGATGTCTACAGGGCCAGGACAACGGAACCAATCAGATGTCTACAAAGCCAGGACAACGGAACCAATCAGATGTATACAAAGCCAGGACCATGGAACCAATCAGATGTCTACTCAGCCAAGTCAACGGAACCAATCAGATGCATACAAAGACAGAACAACGGAACCAATCAGATGTCTACACAGTCAGGATAACGGAACCAATCAGATGTCTACACAGCGAGGACAAGGGAACCAATCAGATGTCTACACAGACAGGACAACGGAACCAATCAGATGTCTACAGGGCCAGGACAACGGAACCAATCAGATGTCTACAAAGCCAGGACAACGGAACCAATCAGATGTCTACAAAGCCAGGACCACGGAACCAATCAGATGTATACAAAGCCAGGACCATGGAACCAATCAGATGTCTACTCAGCCAAGTCAACGGAATCAATCAGATGTCTGCTCAGCCAAGAGAACGGAGCCAATCAGATGTCTACACAGCGAGGACAAGAGAACCAATCAGATGTCTACACAGCGAGGACAACGGAACCAATCAGATGTCTACACAGTCAGGACCAAGAAACCAATCAGATGTCTACACAGTCAGGACCAAGAAACCAATCAGATGTCTACACAGTCAGGACCAAGAAACCAATCAGATGTCTACACAGCCAGGACCACGGAACCAATCAGATGTTTACAAAGCCAGAAAAAATGTTGCAGATGATGCTAAACGAGAAAACTTTTGTTGTTTTCTAACCGTCTGTTGTTACGATCACTCGGTCACTTCCCCACTGAACCAGCCATTACTGCTGAAAGTATCCATAAAAATCTCATTGATGTGTATACGTCTTCTTGACATTACCGGGATTTCTGACTATGATCCAATTGCTCGCTGTACTTACTTTTTTCTGACAAGAACGCCTCTGTAAACTCCACAAAGTCCCCATCATAACCAAGTGGCGGAATCATGTCCCTGCAGTGGTTGAAGAAGGACACACAGGTGTCTTTAGGGTTCCGCATGATCTGGATACACTTGATCTTCTTCTCCACGACCTGTTTAGGGAGCATGCGCAGAGGGAGGTGGGTGTTGAAGACACGTGGAGATGGCACTGCTTCTATACCATCTTTGGAGAGGAATTCCACCATCCCGGTCTCTTTCACATCCTTTTGGTATTTGATGGCACCACTCTTTAGCATCTCGAGGACTTCCCACAACTAATGGGTTCCTACAACAGACAAACTTTCAACACAAGGGGTAGCATCAAATAGCAATTGAAATTAGTAGTGTTGGATCAGAGTAAGAATGCTGCGCTATATAAAATGCATCATGTGGAGAAATATTGAGCTAGATGGACTAATTATACACAATTTATTACCTCCCTTGACTCTCTAAGTTGGTATCCCCTCCCCAATGCCTAAACAGACACGCCATGATAAAACGGAGACTCGACGTCATATAACGGAGACACCCTGTGATATAGGTGAGACATGGTGCGGTACGGCGAAGACACAGCGTGATATACTGGAGACATGAAGTAATATAGCAGAAACACTGTGTGACATAGTGGAGACACGGTTTAGTATAACAGAAACACTGTGTGACATAGTGTAGACACGGTGTAGTATAACAGAAACACTGTGTGACATAGTGTAGAGACGGCGTAATATAACAGAAACACTGCATGATATAGTGTAGACACCGTGTGATATAACAGAAACGCTGTGTGATATAGTGGAAACACGGTGTGATATAACGGAAACGGTGTGTGATATAGTGGAGACACGGTGTGATATAACGGAAATACTGAGTGATATAGTGTAGACACCGTGTAATATAACGGAAACGCTGTGTGATATAGTGTAGACACGGCGTAATATAACAGAAACACTGTGGGATATAGTGGAGACACCGTGTGATATAACGGAAACGCTGTGTGATATAGTGGAGACACCGTGTGATATAACAGAAACGCTGTGTGATATAGTGTAGACACAACATAATATAACAGAAACCATGTGTGATATAGTGAAGACACGGCATACTATAACAGAAACACTGTGTGATATAGTGGAGACACGGCGTAATATAACAGAAACACTGTGGGATATAGTGGAGACACAGCGTAATATAACAGAAACACTGTGTGACATCGTGGAGACACGGCGTAATATAACAGAAACACTGTGTGATATAGTGGAGACATGGTGTAGTATAACAGAAACACTGAGTGATATAGTGGAGAAACGGCGTAATATAACCAAAACACTGTGTGATATAGTGGAGACACGGTGTGGTATAACTAAAACACTGTGTGATATAGCGGAGAAACGGTGTAGTATATCAGAAACACTGTGTAACATAGTGGAGACACGGCGAAATATAACAGAAACCATGTGTGATATAGTGGAGACACGGTGTAGTATAACAGAAACACTGTGTGATATAGTGGGGACACGGCGTAATATAACAGAAACACTGTGTGACATAGTGGAGACACGGCGGAACATAACAGAAACAACGTGTGATATAGTGGAGACACGGCGTAATATAACAGAAACACTGTGTCACATCGTGGAGACACGGCGTAATATAACCAAAACACTGTGTGATATAGTGGAGAAACGGCGTAATATAACCAAAACACAGTGTGATGTAGTGGAGACACGGTGTGGTATAACTAAAACACTGTGTGATATAGTGGAGAAACGGTGTAGTATATCAGAAACACTGTGTGACATAGTGGAGACACGGTGTAGTATAACAGAAACCATGTGTGATATAGTGGAGACACGGTGTAGTATTACAGAAACCATGTGTGACATAGTGGAGACACGGTGTAGTATAACAGAAACACTGTGTGACATAGTGGAGACACGGTGTAGTATAACAGAAACACTGTGTGATAAAGTGGAGACACGGCGTAATATAACAGAAACCATGTGTGACATAGTGGAGACAAGGTGTAGTATAACAGAAACACTGTGTGACATAGTGGAGACACAGTGTAGTATACAGAAACCATGTGTGATATAGTGGAGACTGTGTCGTATAGTGGAGACACGGTGTAGTATAACAGAAACACTGTGTGACATAGTGGAGACACGGTGTAGTATAACAGAAACACTGTGTGATATAGTGGAGACACTGCGTAATATAACACAAACCATGTGTGATATAGTGGAGACACAGCGTAATATAACAGAAACCATGTGTGATATAGTGGAGACACGGTGTAGTATAACAGAAACACTGTGTGACATAGTGGAGACACGGTGTAGTATAACAGAAACCATGTGTGATATAGTGGAGACACGGCGTAATATAACAGAAACCATGTGTGGTATAGTGGAGACACGGTGTAGTATAACAGAAACACTGTGTGATATAGTGGAGAAACGGTGTAGTATAACAGAAACACTGTGTGATATAGTGGAGACACAGCGTAATATAACACAAACCATGTGTGATATAGTGGAGACACGGTGTAGTATAACAGAAACACTGTGTGACATAGTGGAGACACGGTGTAGTATAACAGAAACACTGTGTGATGTAGTGGAGACACGGCGTAATATAACAGAAACGCTGTGTGATATAGTGGAGACACAGTGTAGTATAACAGAAACACTGTGTGACATAGTGGAGACACGGTGTAGTATAACAGAAACCATGTGTGATATAGTGGAGACACGGTGTAGTATAACAGAAACACTGTGTGACATAGTGGAGACACGGTGTAGTATAACAGAAACACTGTGTGATAAAGTGGAGACACGGCGTAATATAACAGAAACCATGTGTGATATAGTGGAGACACGGTGTAGTATAACAGAAACACTGTGTGATATAGTGGGGACACGGCGTAATATAACAGAAACACTGTGTGACATAGTGGAGACACGGCGGAACATAACAGAAACAACGTGTGATATAGTGGAGACACGGCGTAATATAACAGAAACACTGTGTCACATCGTGGAGACACGGCGTAATATAACCAAAACACTGTGTGATATAGTGGAGAAACGGCGTAATATAACCAAAACACAGTGTGATGTAGTGGAGACACGGTGTGGTATAACTAAAACACTGTGTGATATAGTGGAGAAACGGTGTAGTATATCAGAAACACTGTGTGACATAGTGGAGACACGGTGTAGTATAACAGAAACCATGTGTGATATAGTGGAGACACGGTGTAGTATTACAGAAACCATGTGTGACATAGTGGAGACACGGTGTAGTATAACAGAAACACTGTGTGACATAGTGGAGACACGGTGTAGTATAACAGAAACACTGTGTGATAAAGTGGAGACACGGCGTAATATAACAGAAACCATGTGTGACATAGTGGAGACAAGGTGTAGTATAACAGAAACACTGTGTGACATAGTGGAGACAAAGTGTAGTATACAGAAACCATGTGTGATATAGTGGAGACTGTGTCGTATAGTGGAGACACGGTGTAGTATAACAGAAACACTGTGTGACATAGTGGAGACACGGTGTGAGTATAACAGAAACACTGTGTGATATAGTGGAGACACTGCGTAATATAACAGAAACCATGTGTGATATAGTGGAGACACAGCGTAATATAACAGAAACCATGTGTGATATAGTGGAGACACGGTGTAGTATAACAGAAACACTGTGTGACATAGTGGAGACACGGTGTAATATAACAGAAACCATGTGTGATATAGTGGAGACACGGCGTAATATAACAGAAACCATGTGTGGTATAGTGGAACACGGTGTGAGTATAACAGAAACACTGTGTGATATAGTGGAGAAATGGTGTAGTATAACAGAAACACTGTATTGATATAATGGTGGAACACAGCGTAATATAACACAAACCATGTGTGATATAGTGGAGACACGGTGTGTATAACAGAAACACTGTGTGACATAGTGGAGACACGGTGTAGTATAACAGAAACACTGTGTGATGTAGTGGAGACATGGCGTAATATAACAGAAACGCTGTGTGATATAGTGGAGACACAGTGTAGTATAACAGAAACCATGTGTGATATAGTGGAGACACGGTGTAGTATAACAGAAACACTGTGTGACATAGTGGAGACACGGTGTAGTATAACAGAAACACTGTGTGATAAAGTGGAGACACGGCGTAATATAACAGAAACCATGTGTGACATAGTGGAGACAAGGTGTAGTATAACAGAAACACTGTGTGACATAGTGGAGACACAGTGTGAGTATGAAACCATGTGTGATATAGTGGAGACTGTGTCGTATAGTGGAGACACGGTGTAGTATAACAGAAACACTGTGTGACATAGTGGAGACACGGTGTAGTATAACAGAAACACTGTGTGATATAGTGGAGACACTGCGTAATATAACACAAACCATGTGTGATATAGTGGAGACACGGCGTAATATAACAGAAACCATGTGTGATATAGTGGAGACACGGTGTAGTATAACAGAGAAACACTGTGTGACATAGTGGAGACACGGTGTAGTATAACAGAAACCATGTGTGATATAGTGGAGACACGGCGTAATATAACAGAAACCATGTGTGGTATAGGTGGAGACACGGTGTGAGTATAACAGAAACACTGTGTGATATATGTGGAGAGAGAAACGGTGTGAGTATAACAGAAACACTGTGTGATATAGTGGAGACACAGCGTAATATAACACAAACCATGTGTGATATAGTGGAGACACGGTGTAGTATAACAGAAACACTGTGTGACATAGTGGAGACACGGTGTAGTATAACAGAAACACTGTGTGATGTAGTGGAGACACGGCGTAATATAACAGAAACGCTGTGTGATATAGTGGAGACACAGTGTAGTATAACAGAAACACTGTGTGACATAGTGGAGACACGGTGTAGTATAACAGAAACCATGTGTGATATAGTGGAGACACGGTGTAGTATAACAGAAACACTGTGTGACATAGTGGAGACACGGTGTAGTATAACAGAAACACTGTGTGATAAAGTGGAGACACGGCGTAATATAACAGAAACCATGTGTGACATAGTGGAGACAAGGTGTAGTATAACAGAAACACTGTGTGACATAGTGGAGACACAGTGTAGTATACAGAAACCATGTGTGATATAGTGGAGACTGTGTCGTATAGTGGAGACACGGTGTAGTATAACAGAAACACTGTGTGACATAGTGGAGACACGGTGTAGTATAACAGAAACACTGTGTGATATAGTGGAGACACTGCGTAATATAACAGAAACCATGTGTGATATAGTGGAGACACAGCGTAATATAACAGAAACCATGTGTGATATAGTGGAGACACGGTGTAGTATAACAGAAACACTGTGTGATATAGTGGAGACATGGTGTAGTATAACAGAAACCATGTGTGATATAGTGGAGACACGACGTAATATAACAGAAACCATGTGTGACATAGTGGAGACACGGTGTAGTATAACAGAAACCATGTGTGATATAGTGGAGACACGGTGTAGTATAACAGAAACACTGTGTGACATAGTGTAGACACGGCGTAATATAACAGAAACACTGTGTGACATCGTGGAGACACGGCGTAATATAACAGAAACACTGTGTGATATAGAGGAGACACGGCGTAAAATAACAGAAACACTGTGTGATATAGTGGAGACACGGTGTAGTATAACAGAAACACTGTGTGACATAGTGGAGACACGGTGTAGTATAACAGAAACACTGTGTGACATAGTGTAGAAGCGGTGTAGTATATCAGAAACCATGTGTGATATAGTGGAGACACGGTGTAGTATAACAGAAACACTGTGTGACATAGTGGAGACACGGCGTAATATAACAGAAACCATGTGTGGTATAGTGTAGACACGGTGTGATATAACTGAAACATTGTGTGATATAGTTGAGACACTGTGTGAAATACAACCCTACAACCATACAACCCAACAACCCTCACAATTATCTTCCTTGAATAGCATATTCGGTTTTTCTCGCGCTCCTAAGAAAATCGAATTTTATTGCATGAAAATCACTGCAACTTTGACTAAAGTTGCTTCACATCACGATAGGCATTCCGGTCGACGTTTGGAGAGCCAGGATTGGAAGATTTGTGCCTTCTAAGGGTGTGAGACAGATTGCAACTGTGCCTCCCTACGATCCGACTAGTGAGTGGACACCGGCCATGGATACAGCATACAGGATTCTACTGTATGGGTCACTAACTGTCCCTGTGGTGTGTGCTGGGTCATTCTTGGGATCTTCTATGAAGGATTTAGAGTATTCTTGGATTCCACCAGCGTCTTTGTGTGCTAAAGGAGATGTGTGTAACATTTTGCAAGTGTGACGTCACCATTGTTTACATGGCGAAATCAGGAGTCACTCGATTCGGGCGCCGTTCCCGGTGTGACAGATTCTCCATCAGTGATCCACGTTGCCGGAGGAAGACCACCTCCGTGGTGTAGTGGTTAGAGCGTCTGCCCGGAGAGCGGAAGGTCGCGGGTTCGATCCCCGACCGCGTCGTACCAAAAGACGTTAAAATATGGTACTTGTTGGTCCCTGCCTGGCGTTCGGCATTAATGGGTACAAGAAGGACTGGTCGGCTCGGAGTCAGTATAATGTGTCTGAGTGGGGTATTTGTGCTTCACTGCGGCATGGTATCTCAGTGGGCTAACACTATAAAACCAACTTCAGTCTGGGCTAGTACAAGCAGCCGCACATACCCATACACACGCATGCACGTCGTCATATGAGCGAAATATTCTCAAGCACGACGTTAAACCCAATTTCACCTCACCTCACCATTAGGAGGACAAATGGCACTCGGTGAAACTACGGAGCGTACTGAAGCAGAAAGCTGTCGGCACTGCAAACGACCTCACAAACCACCAGAGACAGGAACTGTACAAGCTTCGTGGTGAGAATCCTAACACTAGATTTTATTACAAAGGGAACAAACTTGTGAAACAGCCCAGGGAGGACATCACACAGGATTCTCAGGACCGCACCACTCAGCAGGATCAACCATCCAGTAGACAGCTCAGATCCTCCTCCAACACTTCCACCAGGGGGCGGGGCGGTGGGGTAGTCTAGTGGTTAAAGCGTTGGCTCGTCACGCCAAAGACCCGGGTTCAAATCCCCACATGGGTACAATGAGTGAAGCCCATTTCTGGTGTCCCCCGCCGTGATATTGCTGGAATATTGCTAAAAGCGGCGTAAAACCAAACTCAGTCAGTCAGTGTACCACTTACACCAATAAAAGTGAAATCAACCAAATTGTACCCATGTGGGGAATCGAACCTGGGCCTTCGGCGTGACGAGCGAACGCTTTAACCACTAGGCTACCCCACCGCCCCTGTAAGTGGTACAAGTGTAATTGACTGATATAGTGGAGACACGGTGTGATATAAGGGAAACACTGTGTGATATAGTGGAAACACTATGTGATGTAACTGAAACACTGTGTGATATAGTGGAAATACTGTGTGATATAGTTCAGACACTGCGTGATTTAGTGGAAATACTGTGTGATATAGTGGAGACACTGTGTGATATAGTGGAAATACTGTGTGATATAGTGGAGACACTGTGTGATATAGTGGAAATACTGTGTGACACTGTGTGATATAGTGGAGTCACTGTGTGATATAGTGGAAATACTGTGTGATATAGTGGAAATACTGTGTGATATAGTGGAGACACTGTGTGATATAGTGGAAATACTGCGTGATATAGTGGAAATACTGTGTGGTATAGTGGAGACACTGTGCGATACAGTAGAGATACTGTGTGATATAGTGGAGTCACTGTGCGATACAGTAGAGATACTGTGTGATATAGTGGAGACACTGTGCGATACAGTAGAGACACTGTGTGATATAGCTGCGGTGCTGCTTATGCAATATTTAAGCATTCTCTAGGGATCGCCCAACTGAATCCACCGTGACAGGGCAAGCTTTGGGACCATACCACGATGACGTGGGCCATCTTAGTGCTCTCTCAGTCCCAGCTTAGTCTGTTTTCAGACAATGTCCTGGTGTTGCTGTCACGTACCTAGAATATTGCAGACTGCGGCGTCAAATATCACACTCTGGGACATGTCGTGTACCTACCACATTTGGGATATGCACAGATAAAGATGTCATCGTCTTTCAGTTCGGCTTCTTTGATACTTCTGAATTTGTCTGCAGGACGAGCTCCCTTCAGCACAGTCTGAGGCAGTATGTAGAAATAAACCCCATCATGCTTGAAACAGTAAAACCCGTGGCCTTTCGAATTTCTCAGATCGGGTATCTCCCCATGGTCGAGATCTCTGGAACATACCGCTCATGGTCGAGATATATTGGTATTGTTCTCGATAACAAGCACGCACGCATGCAAAAACAAAAACACACACATACATACAAACCTTCCACAACCTACCATTCATACATATACATACATACATACATACATACATACATACATACACATACATACATACATACATACATACATACATACATACATACATACATACATACATACATACATACATACATACATACATACATACATACATACATACATACATACATACATACATACATCTTGGTGTGAGACAAGGCTGTATACTAAGCCCGTTTCTATTTTCCTTTTTAATAAATGAGTTATCACGACAAATCGAAACTAATTGTGTACACGGGAAACAACTCCACCCTGATATAGTTCATATTTTCCTATTGCTATTTGCAGATGACATTGTTTTGTTCTCAAGCACGATTAATGGCTTACAGAATCAAATTAATGAACTTGAAAGTTACTGCGATAAATAGAAATTAACTGTAAATAGAGAAACAACGAAAATTGTTGTATTCAAAAATGGAGGCAAATTGTCAAAAAGGGAAAACTGGTTATATACAGGTATGAAGCTGGAGTGTATTGGCTTTTATAAATATTTGGGACTATATTTCACCAGTGGCCTGTCATGGACGAGGCATGTAAAATATGAGACACGGACAAAGAGGGACAAAAAGCATTAAATGGAATTATGAAACAGTTGAGTGTACATGGTAATATTAACTTCTCCTCATTCTTTAAAATATTTTATGCCAAAGTCAGTCCAATTTTATCATATGGGGCCGAAATTTGGGGAATAACAAAATTGGACGAAATTGAAAAAATCCATTTATACGCATGCAAAAATTTCCTCGAGTTAAAATTAACACTATTAACGCAGTGATTTATGGTGAATGCGGTAGGTACCCAATGCACATTCTTACAAGCATTAAAGCATTAAACTGGTTAAAACTGTTGATTATGCCTTCAAATCACTTACCCAAGAAGTGTTATAATATGATGTTGTTATATGATAAAAGTGGACCAAAAAACTGGGCAACCAATGTAAAAAAACATTTATATTCTATTGGTTTTGGAATTACATGGAATACACAATGTCGAATCACCTACGTTATTCATACAATTCTTAACGACAAGACTAAAAGATATGTATATTCAAACATGGTGTGAAAGGATATCCTTATCAAATAAATGCATGTATTATTGTTTAAAAATGCCATAGTTCTTGAGTCATATCTATCCTGTGTTAGACCCGTGAAGATCCGGGGTAGAATAGGTCTTCAGCAACCCATGTGCTTGACATAAACGGCTACATACATACATACAAATAAAAAAAAAGTTTGTCTAGTCCAACATGAGCAAGAACTCAGAGACATTTGCTTCCAATCCTAATGTCCTAATGTTTTCTGCTTGTAAAGTACCAATACTCACATGTTTCTCATAAGAGGGGCATCAGTTCCACCTTTCCACCATAACAAGCAGAGAGCCGTTGTGTCACTGAAATACTGTTACAAATGGCTAGAGGGCAAACTCACTCACTCACTCTCTGCTACTGAATACCAAATATCATATAGCTTTAATATTGCTGATATTGCTCAGTGCTGCTATCAACAAAAAGCAAACAAAGGAATATGAAAGGCCCATCCAGGATAGTTGTTGTTTGTTGGTCTCTCACCATGTTCTTATTACGTGCACATTTCTCAGTTAGCTTATTGTTTCAACTTAGAAACCGACACCAGAGACAACCAACATATCACACTGAACCAGAGGCTGGGACGGCCCGAAATATTGCCGATATTTACGTTGCATCAAAAAACATGTGGTAATGCAAATACAGAGTCAATAAACAGTGTGTCTGAAGACACAGTACTGAGAAATAGGTCAATAGCATCAGGGAAACACTTACATCACGAACTTTTCATCGTTGTTATCTGTTGACATGTTGACGACTCGTATCGGTGCAGCACGTCGGAGGATATTCGCAAATCTAGGTTGAACAACTGCACAACGGCATGTCATTTAAAGTTAATGTCATGTGATTTATATGTAACATGACTAACTTGTTTAATCGGCATTGCAGAAGTTTTATTGTTTTGTTGCTTGCTTTTTTTGTTTTTTTTTGAATTTTATTCTCGGAATAAGAAGTGTATACAGTGTATGTAAACAATAATAGACACTTACGGGTTTGCTTGCTTGTTTTACACATAGATACAACATTCGCTCACACATCCATACCATAATAATATAAAAATATATTAATTCATGTTGTCAGTGTTTGCTACTGAAAAACATGTCCATATTGTTTCCATTTGTTATGGTGTTCCTGAAACCTTGCTCTGCTATAAAGCATTCTAGAAGTTCGTGAGTCAAAAATGAAGCATACAACTTTATGGCTGCCAGCTTCTTGTTTATTGCATAGAGCAACGTTTCGATGTAGATTCTTACACCGTTAAAAGCACTTGCTTATACTATAGTCGGAGTTGTACCATCGATACTGCTGTAAGTAGAGGTGTCTAATGGCTATGGAGTGGGTCTCCTGTGTACTATTGCAGTCCTTCTGGGATATGATCGATTGGCTGATTTTGAAGGTAAACGTCGCAACCACTTCGGTAGACACACAAACACAGTTTTTTCAGATTAATTAACATTTAATCAAAGCCAAATCACTAAACTTGGCACATGACTTTCGAATGGGTCTTCAGATTTTCTTGACTGAAATGCCCAGTCCTCGATATGCTGAAAGTTGCAGTATGTGAGCAAAAGAGCAATCAGTTCTATACTAAACTATAACAACATAGGTATATGTACATTTGTGTAAATTATAAGAACGACCAGGCATACCTTAAATAATCCTTAGCTGGCTGAAAGTTCGTAAATTATTCATAAATATGTCAAGCTCACTGATGCCATTTATTGACAGAACGTTCATTCATTAAGTGCATTTTCGGTGTGAAGAACATATTTTCTGAGACAGACAGACTGGTGGTGGCCCTTTGCGAGACAGACTGGTGGTGACCCTTTGCGAGACAGACTGGTGGTGGCCATTTGCGAGACAGACTGGTGGTGGCCCTTCTGCGAGACAGACTGGTGGTGCCCCTTTGCGAGACAGACTGGTGGTGCCCCCTTTGACAGACAGACTGTGGTGTCCCTTTGCGGGCAGACTGGTGGTGACCCTTTTGAGGGTCAGACTGGTGGTGTCCCTTTGCGAGAGAGACTGGTGGTGCCCTTTGACAGACTGGTGGTGCCCCTTTGCGAGACAGACTGGTGGTGCCCCTTTTGACAGACAGACCGTGGTGTCCCTTTGCGAGACAGACTGGTGGTGCCCTTTTGACAGACAGACCGTGGTGTCCTTTTGACAGACAGCCTGGTGGTGTCCCTTTGCGAGACAGACTGGTGGTGCCCTTTTGACAGACAGCCTGGTGGTGTCCCTTTGACAGACAGACTGGTGGTGCCCTGTTGACAGACAGACCGTGGTGTCCCTTTGACAGACAGCCTGGTGGTGTCCCTTTGCGAGACAGACTGGTGGTGCCCTTTTGACAGACAGCCTGGTGGTGTCCCTTTGACAGACAGACCGTGGTGTCCCTTTGCGAGACAGCCTGGTGGTGTCCCTTTGACAGACAGACTGGTGGTGCCCTTTTGACAGACAGACCGTGGTGTCCCTTTGACAGACAGACCGTGGTGTCCCTTTGCGAGACAGACTGGTGGTGTCCTTTTGACAGACAGACTGGTGGTGCCCCTTTGACAGACAGACCGTGGTGTCCCTTTGACAGACAGACCGTGGTGTCCCTTTGACAGACAGACCGTGGTGTCCCTTTGCGAGACAGACTGGTGGTTCTCCTTTGCGAGACAGACTGGTGGTTCTCCTTTGCGAGACAGACTGGTAGTGGCCCGTCTGCTAAACAGACTGGTGGTGGATTATCTGCTAAACAGCCTGGTGGTGTCCCTTTTGACAGGCAGACTGTGGTGGCCCTTGGCGAGACAGACTGATGGTGGTCCATTGCAAGACAAACTGTGGTGCCCCTTTGCTAGACAGACTGTGGTGCCCCTTTGCGAGACAGACTGGTATTGGCCCGTCTGCTAAACAGACTGTGGTGAAGCGAAGGAAGTACGTTGCCAACCTTTAATCACTTCGCACGCACATTGGAAGACTGGTCATTTTTCTCTCTGTTGCGGAACCCTATTTGCGCTGCACTTTGCCTGTGGTTGTTCTTTCCCTTCCAACGGCCTTGTGCCAGGTCATAGTTAACGCTGTCTCGTTTCCCGGCAAGACATTCACATACCCGCATCGGGTAAAGTAGTGACGTAATAAGCGTCACTTATTACATGCAGCGATAACCTAAAAGAAATATAACCGATAGCACGTGTATGAGAAATGTTAAACTCCAACTCACTACCACTGTATTCATACACAGACTGGCCCATTTCCGCCCTATTACAGACATATTTAATCTGACCGCCTCCGTGGTGTAGTGGTTAGAGCGTCTGACCGGAGAGCGGAAGGTCGCGGGTTCGATCCCCGACCGCGTCATACCAAAAGACGTTAAAATATGGTACTTGTTGGTCCCTGCCTGGCGCTCGGCATTAATGGGTACAACAAGGACTGGTCGGCTCGGAGTCAGTATAATGTGTCTGAGTGGGGTATTTATGCTTCACTGCGGCATGGTATCTCAGTGGGCTAGCACTATAAAACCAACTTCAGTCTGGGCTAGTACAAGCAGCCGCACATACCCATACACAAGCATGCACGTCGTCATATGAGCGAAATATTCTCAAGCACGACGTTAAACCCAATTTCACCTCACCTCACCTCACATATTTAATCTCCTAATTTGCCCCACTCTCAAAACACATGCAGAAAACTTGGCTGATTCGTAAAGGTTAAAGTTGAATAATCAGATCGGTGGTTGTAGAACATGACTTGCAGTTTGCGCTGTCCCACATTGTGACCTAGTTCTGCGAGACATGTTTGACCAGCACCCTTTGTCATTTTAAGAACGTCCTTGGAAATTCTCCGTGCGTATATAGTAGTGTTGGGAATTGGTTGAAATCTCACAATTGATGATTGCTTCATTACCAACGAACAATCATCGAAAAAAATTGGTTAGCGTCATTTTTCAGATTTTCTTATCAAGGTTGTTATTTTAGATAAGTATAACATGATGCAACTTGCTACTTTAAAGTGATGACTAATATATCATGAACATAAACTTTCTGGAGTCTTCAAGAAATATTCAGTCATGACTTTTCAGTTAGTGAAGTGAGTTTTCTAACAATTAAACAAGTTTTCAGGCCCTGACAACTTTGAAGATATGTTCCATTGTTAAGTGTTTCAACACTAAAACAGCAGTTTCAAAATCGTTTGTGTTTGATTATGAGAAAATGTGATCGATTGCTTGGTCGTTTGGTCACTGCGACCAATCTTCGATTAAACATAGGTTATATTTGTGATTACACTTTCTTAGTAAAGTACAAATTCTAGTACTTTTGAGTTGAGCCCCATCCGGGATTCGAACTCACACCCTCAGAGTCAGGCACCTAATCGACAGCACACAAAGTCAGCCGCCTAACCTGCTCAGCTACCGCGACTTCCACTAAAGGTATTATTTCAACTAAAACTTTCAAACACGGATGACAATGAATAAATATAACAAATGACGTTATCGAGTAGATCGTTCAAAGCAACGTCAATTGATATATCAGCTCGATCAGGGTAGACGGACACATGGTGCAGAGGCAGTGTGACATGTTCAGATCATGTGTTCTAAGGAAGTTTTATTAGATCGTGTTATATGACAATGTGGTTAGGCCCTGTTATAATTATGATAGTGTGATGAGATCGTGTGTTATATGACAGTGTCATCAGATCGTGTATTATATGACAGTGTGATTAGATCGTTTTATATGAAAATGTATCTTATAAAATGCAGTAGTTTCATCAATAATTTGTTGTACGGAATGTAGTACCATTTAATGTGAGCACTGTTATTGGCGAAACTATATTTTGATATCTGTGTAATCTGGTAATCATTAAATCATTTATACAGTAAATGAAATGAAGCTTTCTGGACTGACTGACTGAGTTTGGTTTTACGCCGCTTTTAGCAATATTCCAGCAACATCATGGCGGGGGACACCAGAAATGGGCTTCACACATTGTACCCATGTGGGGATTCGAACCCGGGTCTTCGGCGTGACGAGCCAACGCTTTAACCACTAGGCTACCCCACCACCCCGAAGCTTTCTGGAAGGTATTTAGGGTATTATGAACGGACAAAGGCGTACGTCTGTCATCTCTTTACATCCAGGCCAGCAGTTAGCGATGATTTTCTCTTCTCCCTGGAGTGAGTGAGTGAGTTTAGTTTTACCCCGCTTATAGCAATATTTCAGCAATATCAGGAACACCAGAAATGGGCTTCACACATTGTACCCATGTGGGGAATCGAACCCGGGTCTTTAACCACAAGGCTACCCCACCACCCCCTCGGCCTGTTTGAAAGCTTGCATTTGTATCTATTTATACACCTAGTTACATTCATTCTACAACTATTAATTGTGTAACATTTTTTATCATTTGCTGGTTCCAACAGTGGTCTTTCGCGTATATATTTCTGGGTTAATGTATCGGATAAAACTGAAAGTCGATTCGGAGAACTGTTTTGTTTCATACCTCGTTCTAAACATTAAATTAGCCTGGTCTGTCGTTTAGATCAAAGTAGCTTCATACAGCGTTTCGATCGAAGTGGCTTGATACGTCTTTGACATCGGGGTGGCTTGATATGTCGTTTAAATCAAGGAAACATGATATATTGTTTAGTTCAAAGTAAATCTTTGAAGGGCATTTAGAAGTGGAATACATAAGAAAAGCAAGATTTATGGATGTCAACTTCTTTATTGTGAATGACACGACGTTTCAGAGTGTATGCTTGCTCCTTCATCAGGTGTATTACTGCTTCATCCCCATGTTGAAGTCGGGTCAAACACCTGATAAAGCAGAAAGCATACGCTCCGAAACGTCGTGTTATTCACAATAAAGACGTTGATAAGTCTTGTTTTCTTAGTTCAAAGTAGCTTGATATATCAGTTTAATCAAGAGAGCTTGAATGTCTATGCCGACTCCCACATATAAAACCAGTCATTACTGTAAGAACCATATCCAACATATGGAAGAAAGTCAGCGTTAAAGTTCTACGAGTGAGGGTATTGCGGCCTGGTTTTTCAAAACACGAAATAGCAGAGCGTGCAGGATCACTTAGCGCTAAGATCGCTTCATAGAATGAGGTCCTGGGCCTAGATTTTCGAAGCTCTCTTACCGCTAAGATAGTCGTAAGTGCCATACATTAACATTAACTTACGACTATTTTAGCGCTAAGAGAGCTTCAAAAATCTGGGCCCTGGTTATATACCACGTTACCACGTCGGAATACGCTACAACGCGGTCTCCTTCAGGTGGTCGTGGTAGAGGGTCGGACTCCTGCTCCTCTTTGCCAGCGCATCGGCATCGGGTATGGGACTGTGTCTTGCCAGTCGACCATCATGGTCACTGGTTAGTGTCTGCACCACACCTGATGCTGTTGCTTGTGCCCATCTGGGAGGAAGGGACATCTGATCGGGGCACGTTTCTCAAACAAGCAGGCCACAGCCTCCTTCTGATGGTTCTGCTGGACAGTCGGACTCCCACTCTCCATTTCCGGGTTACAGAATAGCGTCTTATGAGGCGGTGATCACGGCCATTGGTCTTAGTTAGGTCTTCCAACAGCAAACCCTCGCTTACATACTACCAAAAAGTAACTGAACATATCTAACGTCAATAAAATGAATTTATTCTAAAATTGGATTATGCAGCTTCCAATACATATATATTTATGAAGGAATCTACTCGGTTGAGACCAGTTCGTGGCAGAACCGTAAGAAGCCAGTTAAGGGAGCACAACATTCCGCGCGACATCCTGCCCGAAATCCCGCGATATGCCCATGTGACCAGCTGGCACTTAGTTTAATAACGCCAGTATCTGAGGCCAGAAGACCAGACTCTGACAGTATGATGTTCACAGATGAGTCCAGGTTTTATCCGACAGCTTCTGTTGTCAGCAGATGGTTTACAGGTCTTCAGAGGAACCTTTCGTGGCGCTAGGTTGCGTTATTCAACATGGTGTTACAGGGGAGGAAGTGTGATGGCACTTCACACTGACGGCTGAACACAAGTCATCGTTGTTAATTGTTATTCGAACAGCATATGCTGTTGCTTGAGATCATATTCTACCCTTTGTGCAAATATGGGAACGTAATATCACTTTGCAGCAGGATATACCATCCCATGTAGCACATCTTGTAAGACTTTCTTGAGGCAGAATAGCATGCTGTAAATATACGGCTGCCTCTTTCTCCTGACCTCTTGTCCATAGAGCAAGGTTAGTGATATGATTGATGTCTAGGACACGACCAGAAACAGACAATAACGTTCATTCAGTTCATTTGGAGCTACATTCCCAGGTTCAATCGTTTAATACACCGCCATTCATGCCCTACCTGTATCAACGCAAATCATCGCCACAGGCTCTACTGACCTTGTTGATCCAATTGCCACTACATATCTCTACAAGCGTATGATATCTCTACAAGCCTATGTCACTCAGTCACCGGTTACCACGAATTGGGTGTATATTCAATGAAATTCTTACGGTAAGACACTTATTAGAAAACCAACCAGATATTACATCATTTTCAAAAACGTAAAATCTACATCAACTTCACATGAAACAGTTTTTTTACGATAATATATACAAGATATTCATTTTCAAAACTTTGTACTTCACTTATAAAATGATGAAAAGGTTTTCCTGAGCATCCCATACAGAACAAAAAGGTTTATAAGAGGAACCATTTATTTCACGACAATACTGCTGTGTGGAAGGTGTGTGAATTTGACAGCAGACACTGAGTTTTCGTTTTAATCCAAAAGTGGTCACGCTTTCACATGCTCAGATCAATGTTACCAAACAAGTTGTGTCTGGACTCAATACCATACCCGACCATTTTGTCAATGTTCTCAGCACTCAGATTACTTATTACAGCAGCTATGGAAAACAACATTTACTAATGAACCAGATGAAATGTTGAGCTGCTATCTGTTGAGAAACCTAACAGATAGAATGAGTGAGTGAGTTTAGTTTTACCTCGCTTTTAGCAATATTCAAGCAATATCACGGCAGTGGGACACCAGAAATTGGCTTTACACATTGTACCCATTGGGGAATCGAACCGGGTCTTCAGTGTGACGATTCACCACTAGGCTACCTCGCTGCCCCAGATACAGACCATTTGATTTCATTTGAGACCAATGAATTGCTCACTAACACAAAATCAGATAAATGCAACAAAACCAAATTTTGCAGAGTCATATGAAATCAACAGACCAACTGTGATGATTTGTCTCATAATTTTGGACACCCGAATAAAAAAGTTCTTTAACAAACGATCATTATTTTGTTGTCACTTTTGGCTATTTTTTACGGGGGGAACCACTTCGCTGGTGGAACTGCCAGGTGTGCGCGTTGCACATGTGAAATTTCACTACACACGCTAGCTGATTACCTTAAATGGACTGTAGAATGTCATGAAATGTTCGAGATCAGACTACATATCACAGATCAGCTGTTTTTGCTACCCACTCTGTCACTGGGAATTGGACAGGAAGACCTGTTCTTCAACCTCATAATGTCAACAAGAAAACAACAACCAACCCCATCAGCTCTTTCTCTGATATAAATCAAAATCATTATTCTGACTTGAGACATAACAAATCCCTTTGACTGATAATATACATATCTTCACATGATACATACTACAAAAATTCTACTCTTGAAATACTCTTTCAAATCCAATGCCTGTTCACATATGTGTGAACCCTCCATGATAAGAGAGTTCAGACTTACAAGAGCATCTCAGCTTAATATTAGAGGACAGACCAAAGTGATGCAGGTTTTTACCACTCTGGACAAAACCTCAAGGATGGTTAGGTCTGTTCAAAGAATCATAAAACAGGGTAACATGGATGTTTCTGTCACCCCTGTAGACTGCAACTCTGCACACTGAATTTTTGCACCATACACGTTTGACCCACTAATGTCTCACAATATGTGATGAACTCAAGTAGGCTGCTAGCTGAAGCAGGCATCTCAATCACCATCTGAATCTCAGTTCATCTTGCTTTCATCCTGACACTAACATCACATTATGTCACGTGATGTTTGACGAGCTTCGTCACGTATTAGGTGCGCTCTCCTGGCTGGCTTTCTTCTGTTTGTCCGCCTCCCGCTGCTTGTAGCTGGCCAGGAACCGCTGGAATGACTCACGCTCCCTCAGCTCCTCCTCATCTGCAGACAACAATGCCGACATGTGATTCACATAAGACCAACATCCAGCCTCCTGAAGGTGGCGAAGATAAGACAACCCGTATGTAAACTGATCTCAATCATACCCAATCATGAGTCGGAGTGCTTTTACAAACAGCAAATAAATCTGGACATTTAAGCAATTCCCAACACTGTATTGAGTCCAGAGCTCAACACCATCACTGCACTGCATTGTTATCAGCTTATCACTGCAGTAGTTGTCTGGTGTAAAACCAAGGAGAAACTCTAGAAACTGTACAAGCATCTCTGTCGATGCGGTTAAATATTAATTTCATTTCTTAATTCATTTAAACTAATGTTCTATATAACACATTTTATATTTGGGATTACACTTTCTTAGTAAAGTACAGATTCTAGTACTTTTGTTGGCTGAGCGGGGTAGGCGTCTGACTTTGTGTGCTGGCGATTAGGTCAGACGTCTAGCCCGCTCAGCCAACAAAATTGCTAGAATCTGTACTTTACTAAGAAAGTGTAATCCCAAGTAGTATGTGTTACATTTGACCACTTTCTAAATGGCATTGTGTATTTCATTGTGTTGTATAGTTGTACCTATCTCTGGTTCCTCGTCCATCCCTATGTATTCCTCGTCACTGTCCTCTTCATCAACTCCAGGTGTTATTACCATTTGCCCACTCAGCTTCTTCGGCAGAGACTCCTCTATAAAATACAATGTAAAGTTTCAATTTCAGAGTTGGTAACCCGAATATGCCTCAACATATTTTTCAGAAACGTTTTGTGTTACCACAAATACTATTTCCCAGAGCTCACTCGATTAAAGAGAATTTGACTGCACTTGGGCATTGGACACATGGGTACCTAAGTTACAGCTGACATATATATTGATGGTGTCTACATTAAATTTTTAGACTGTAATGAACTAGAAAGAGTTGAAACTTCACAGTCACACATTTCTGTACTACCAAGACTTGTTGAGCAATTTTCTAACGTATGTCAACAATCATGGAAAAAATGCAAAGAAAGTATGTATTGGCAGTGTATGAATAAAGCCCGTCTGACCGCCCGGGCTAGATTTCTGACGGCCAGTCTAAATTTACATCTAGCCAGCCAGATGGTCTGGTAAAAAGTTTAGATGTTCCATACATCTGAGTAAATTCACCATATCTGGTCTGGTTAAATCCATTTTGGGTTGGAAACATTTAGAAGTTAGCAAGCCTGATGACTGGATGGATTTTTGGCTTATTTCAAACACTGGTAATGGCCAAATCCCATACTGATCCATGCACATCAAAATAGGTGACTAATTGGATTGTTTAAACAACAAACAAACAAACTTGTTAGACCAAGCTTTATCTTTATCATAATTATTCAGTCTGGGTTTAGCAGATCAAGAACTCAAAAGTTAAGGTCATTTTTGTATCCAAATAAACTGCCATGGTTTCACCACATATGCTTGGTGAAAACAGTGCCTGTAAGTTGGGTATTTGTTTTCACTTTTAACAATATTACAGTTATATCCCAGTATGTTAGCCACCAGATATATATGTGGCATACGTTTACAGGTTTTGGTGAAACCCACAGTATCATCATCACAATTCTGAAAACATAGTGAACTGTAATTCGAATTCTCAGTGCCCATGGAACAATCTCTGCAGTGCCTCTAGGCCCCAAACTTTATCTATCGCCAAGATACCTGTATCTTCTGCCATGTCCTTCTTCAATCTCTCCTTTTGTTTCTTCTTCTCTCTCTCCTCCTTTTCCTCTTTCTCTTTCTTCATCTTTTCATACTGAGGACGGTACTCTCTGAAACATGAATCATCATATAAATCTGCTCCTGTGTAACAGGACAATGTCCGTTGAGAACCTTTACAAGTTGTTGTGTGTTTACTAGGGAACATTTCCGTGTCAGAACAACAGAATTACAATAAAGTTTCAGAGAACTATGTGAATACTCAAAGACAAATAAAATCATTTCAAAACCATGATTGTAAACAGTTTCATTTCACAGTGTAAGTCTCTACATAGCTAGGTTTGAAACAAGTTTCAGGTGAATATTACAGAAGTGACCTACTTGTCAAACTCAACAGCGCCCTCTGCAACTTTGTCCAGGAACTGGTCCAACCCCTCCCCTGTGACAGCAGACACACCAACAGTCTGGACCCAAAACAGAGTGATTGAGTGATTGAGTGGGGTGGGAGTGGGGATGTGCTGGGATGGGTGCGTGAGTGAGTGAGTTTAGTTTTACGCCGCCCTTAGCAATATTCCAGCTATATGGTGGTAGTCTGTAAATAATCAAGTCTGGACCAGACCATCCAGTGATCAACAGCATGAGCATCAGTCTACGCAATTGGGAACCGATGACATGTGTCAACCAAGTCAGCGAGCCTGACCACCCGATCCCATTAGTCGCCTCTTACAACAAGCATGGGTTACTGAAGATCAATTGTAACCCAGATCTCCACAGCAAACTCCAGTGCATGCTGTGGCGATGTACAATCAAGACACAAATTATTTTCTGGATCAACAAGAACTTGACAAAGACAAACAATGTGTCAAGATTTTCTAAGATACTGAATCATCTCAACAATATTCATTAACTTCCTTAGCACCTGATAAAGTAAAATCAGTTTAATAAAATAATAATTTGGATTCGAGCTCACATCAATGTATGGTGAACATGACCTTTATTAAACAGTTTCAGGGACAAGGCCCCACTACACTTGACCTTCACCTTGAGATTGGTGTAGAACCGTCCAGTACAAGGCTCATGGACCGGGTGAGGTTGGAGATGTAGGACGTCTCGTGTTCCAAGGCATCATGGAAGGATTCGAAGTCCTGCATCCACTCCACAGCAAAACTGTTACTGACAATGTCAATCTGGAGAGAAATATTCAAATATTTCAGATTACACAAGAGCTAAAACTGCTGTTCCAGATGAATGCATGGAAACAAAATTGTTACTGTTGCACCCTTGTCTGCTTATTACTAAAGTCCATTTGGCTCAAAAGCGGACCGATGAATTGCAATCTAACTCGAAAACTAATAAACATATAATACTCCATGAAACGCTGATCATAATCAAAACCTCAGACTAACTCAGTGAGGTTTTTTTTTTTGCAGAATTTACGTCCTAAAAATAAAAAGTTGTTAAACAAAGTATCATCAAAATTTTGACACAGTTCACTATTTGTTACGAGGGAGGAGTGCGAAGAGAAGAACAGCCAGGTGTGCGAGGAAGGATGGAGACGGTACAGCACAGGTAAATGAATCAAGAACTTTGTCGGCACTTGTGCACTTGCTTCTCGTACACCTGGCTGTTCCTGCATCGTTACAGCCCTACTCATTACACAATACTAAACAAAACGAAATGTGACAACATTCTACAAATGTACATATGTGTTGTGAGATTTGCGGGTGATATAGGAACAATACCTTGTTCATAGCGATGATGAAGGGGAGCTTGGTCTTGTAGAGGATGCTGCAGGCATACAGCATGTTGGACATGAAGGTGACGGGCGACACGCTGCGAGACGTGTCCATCACATACACCACAACCGTTGGGAACGTCGATGCCTGGATACAATCACAACAGTCAATAAGTACGTACAGATACTGGAAGTTACTGTGGTGTTGCCACTTAGTGCGCTCCCATTTAAGTCTGTTTAATATGTTCAACACAAAACAACAACACGTGTTCACAGCTCCCGCACTTTACTTGTCTGCCCATTCAGGCTGCTCATGCGCAGATACATTTCCGTTCTCTTTAATAGCCGGAGAATATAATGTAAACCAGACCATACCGGACAATAAGCACAAACACTACATCCCTCCTTTTTTTTCAAGAAATGAATGATTACTATCATAACACTTAGATAATAAAATTAAAGATTAACATTCACATGTTAATAATGCCAAATTAAATTTACAACCTCCATTATTTCAATACCACTTGACTTCAACATGTTCGAGAAATCGTAAAACCAATCTTGGAAGGAAATCTACTTAAACCTATACTTCAAAGTCTTATCCAGAAATTACCGTACCCAATATATGATAAAGCAATACTGTAACAAAACAAATTCCACAATTTCTGTAGGTCTACATAAAATATGCATACCTTCTGATATAAATTAAATTTAAATATATTCTCAAGTTTACATTTTCACTTCCATTTGTCTGAATTGTTCCTTGAAACAATTGTTCCTTGAATTGTCACTTATGAGTTTACATAACCCAGCACAAAGTCTCCAAATCTTTTCGGAGGCTCTCTTATTCTTGTAGGTCTCTGAGTTACTTCCTGTTTTGCTGCACCCGGTGTACTGTCACTGTCTGTTACTTTAGAAACACTTGTATCTCGTACCTCTGCTGTCTCAGACAACGCACCACGATGTTGACTAGAAACATGACTGTTAGTGTTCTTCACATCACCATCTGGTTTTGACACATACTTTTTAACATGAGTAACATGTCGTCTATACATGCCACCTGTACTAGATTCCAGATCAACTGCATTCCCATACCTGTTCACTACTGTACAAGGTTGAGGATGGAAATTACTGCTTAACTTGTTCTCACGATGTTGTCTAACAAGCACTTTATCCCCTGTCTGTATTGGAGAATGTTGAGCATATCGCTTCAGATCAGCATAATCCTTCCCTTTCATCTTTTGTACAGAGTCGAAGTCTCGGACATCGTCGTCAATACCAAAGTCAACCAATTCTGGCAATTTTGTCCTAATTTTTCTACCAAAGAGCATCTCAGCTGGTGCTTTTCCAGTAGATGAATGCGGCGTACTTCTGTACATCATGAGGAAATGTTGCAATTCCTGATTCCAATTTTTCTCTTCCACCTGAGAAATCCTCAATATCTTCAGCAGTGACTTGTTCTGTCTCTCGACCTCTCCATTTGCCTGGGGCCAATAAGGTGTGGATGTGTTGTGGATTATTCCCTCTTGTTTCATAAAGTCCTCAAAACTGTCACTGATGAACTGTGGACCATTGTCTGTCTTCAGTGTATAAGGCAAACCATGTGTAAGAAAAGCCTTTTTCAAACAGCCAATGATGGCATCCGCTGAAATTTTCTTCAGAATGTAAAGTTCAACAAGAGTCATCAGAAGATGACATATCCCCCCGGACCCCACATCTTTGAAAGAACAAATCATCTGACAGTTACTTAAAGTCCAGCTTGATTTTAGACTAAGTGCAAATCGTTTCCATGGAAATCATCAAAAAAATAAATGACAAAAATCTGCAAATAGCAAAAGGCACCACTTTGGGATCTGCCTCACATATCTGCCAAGTTTTGCTGAAAGATATTAAGAAGTTTTCGCGTTGTGCTCCGGAAACAAAACCCATCCCTTCCTTTTGAGACTAAGTTCGAATCATTTCCATGGAAACCGAGAAAATAATAAATCACAAATATCTGCAAATAGCAAAAGGCATCACTTCAATATCTGCCTCACATATCTGCCAAGTTTTGCTGAAAGATGTAGAGAGGTTTTTGAGTTGTGCTCCGGAAACGAAGCCCACCCCTCACTTTTGGGATTAAGTCCGAATTGTTTCCATGGAAACCGGGAAAAATAAAAATGCCAAAAATCTGCAAATAGCAAAAGGCACAACTTTAGGATCTGTTTGATATATCTATCAAGTTTTGTTGAAAAATATTAACGGTTCTTGAGTTGTGCTCTGGAAACGAAGCCCACCCCTCACTTTTGGGACTAAGTCCGAATCGTTTCCATGGAAACCGGGAAAAAAAAATGCCAAAAATCTGCAAATAGCAAAAGGCACCACTTAAGGTTCTGTTTGATATATCTACCAAGTCTTGTTGAAAAATATTGAACGGTTCTTGAGTTATGCTCTGGAAACGAAGCCCACCCCTCACTTTTGGGACTAAGTCCGAATCGTTTCCATGGAAACCGGGAAAAATTAAAATGCCAAAAATCTGCAAATAGCAAAAGGCACCACTTAAGGTTCTGTTTGATATATCTACCAAGTCTTGTTGAAAAATATTGAACGGTTCTTGAGTTATGCTCTGGAAACGAAGCCCACCCCTCACTTTTGGGACTAAGTCCGAATCGTTTCCATGGAAACCCGGAAAAATAAAAATGCCAAAAATCTGCAAATAGCAAAAGGCACCACTTAAGGTTCTGTTTGATATATCTACCAAGTCTTGTTGAAAAATATTGAATGGTTCTTGAGTTATGCTCCGGAAACGAAAGCAATCCTTACTTTTTGAGACTAAGTTCAAAATGTTTCCATGGAAACCGGGAAAAATAAAATGCCAAAAATCGGCAAATAGCAAAAGGCACAACTTTAGGATCTGTTTCATACATCTACCAAGTTTTGTTGAAAATATTGAACGGTTCTTGAGTTATGCTCGAAACGAAGCCCACCCTCACTTTTGGGACTAAGTCCGAATCGTTTCCATGGAAACCGGGAAAAATAAAATGACAAAAATCTGTGAAATGCAAAAGGCACCACTTTAGGATCTGTTTGATATATCTACCAAGTTTTGTTGAAAAATATTGAACGGTTCTTGAGTTATGCTCCGGAAACGAAGCCCACCTTTCTTTAAGACTAAGTCCAAAACGTTTCCATGGAAACCGAGAAAAATAAAAATGACAATTATCTGTAAATAGCAAAAGGCACCACCTTAGGTTATTTTTGACATATCTACCAATTTTGGTTAAAAAATATCGAATGGTCTTTGAGTTATGGTCCGGAAACAAAATGATTACGGACGGACGGACGGACGGACGGACGGACGGACGGACAGACGGAGAGGCGACGACTATATCCCACCGCATTATATGCCGGTGGGATAAAAAATCTACTGTAGTAGTCCACTACCACTAGAATGTTATCTCCCGAGGGCAACGGTCCGAGGAGATCAGCTGCCAAATGTTGCCACGGTAGTGATGGTAAAGTTGTTCGAAACAATGGTAGGGGAAGATTTGGACTTGATACAACTTGACATCCATGACATGACTTGCAGTGTGCTTCAGCTTGTGCATCAATACCTGGCCACCATACTTTGGTTCTCAGTCTCTGTTTCATTTTCACCACCCCTGGGTGACCTTCATGAGCCAAACACAACACCTTGTCCCTGAGGCACATAGGAATAACTAATCTAGTTCCCCGAAGAACAACCTTTCCAATCGCTGAGAGTTCATGTCTCACAGGAACATATTTCACATTTGTCATCATATGCCATCTGCCTGATAATAAGCCCTCCCTGATTACTTTCAGTTCACTGTCCGATTCAGATGCATTTTCAACATCACTAGTTGTCAAGGCTGCTGGCGTTGATTCGGATGCGACGAATCGAACATACTCGTCGGCTTCACTTGAATTCCTTGTCATCGCAGTTTGTTGATTTTACCTCAGTAGTCTAGAAAGACAGTCAGCAATATTGTTCTCTCCTTTAATGTACTTAACACTGTAATCATAGGCTTGCATCCGCAACACCCAGCGTTCAATTCTAGGACATGGCCTTGAATGGATAGCGTGTATGAACTGCAGTGGTTTGTGATCTGTTAGAATTTCAAAATGGGCTCCATACAGGTAAGCATGGAATCGTTCACATGCCCATACCAAGGCTAAAGCCTCTTTCTCAGTTTGTGAGTAGCGTTTTTCTACATCAGTCAAACTCGAAAGAACGCAGCCATCTTCGCCAACGTGGTCCCAGACTTGATGTTTCACTACAGTCGAAACTGTGAAGGTGTCCAATGTCACCAAATTTAACTGTCGTCATGATAGCTAGAACTATAACTATCCTCGTCACCATTCATGTGGTGTTGCCACTTAGTGCGCTCCCATTTAAGTCCGTTTAATATGTTCAACACAAAACAACAACACGTGTTCACAGCTCCCGCACTTTACTTGTCTGCCCATTCAGGCTGCTCATGCGCAGATACATTTCCGTTCTCTTTAATAGCCGGAGAATATAACGTAAACCGGACCATACCGGACAATAAGCACAAACACTACAGTTACCAATATTGCAACAGCTTTTTACTGACATCTACTATTACAGGAATCACACCTTCTTAGTAAGTATAGAAAGCTGTGTTAATTTGGTATCCAAATTTTCATGTTTATTTTTCAATTATCTGAAATAATCTATGGGTTCTTCCATGTTAATTAATGTGTCCCAGCTGAAATCTTTATGATTATCAGGCATGTATAATGGCCAAAGCTGCTGCTTTTGTAGCTTTCTTGAATGTACATAGAGAGAATGGGCATGGTTATGCACCAATTTCAGCAATATTCCAGCAATATCAAGATGGGCAATGCAATAACGGCTTCACACAGTGTACCCATGTGGGTGTACAACCCAGGTCTTCGGCATGACAAGCGAACGATTTAACCACTAGACAACCTGGTCGTACTGAATATACAGGGAAGACACAGTGTTCACGAATAGCGTCTGACCCTCTGACAAATCCGGCAGATTAGACAACGGTCCGATAGAAATCTACAACCCGCCGGCCCCAGTTTCTGACTGTATATTTCACAATGACTTTGACTGAAGTTGTTATATGTGACATGTGACACTTGTTTGCTGAATATAAA